TAGCGACCATGGGCGGCTCCCACTCTCCGTCCATCTCTTCGTCCCAGTCTTCGGGCTTCTTAGCGTCGGGGTCGGGAATGTTCTCTGCCTTGTCCCAATCCTGACAAAGTCAATGAAAGAAGACAATAATTTAAACAAGATTTCCTATACAATGGCCCATTACTTCAGGACCCCAATATATATTGTCGTTCCCTACATTAAAATTAGGTGATTATAGTCTATCAAGCCAAATATAAATGCATACTGTTAAAAAAAATGCCCCCCTGAATGACAGAGAGAAAGAAAACAGAGTTTGAAGTGTACCGACCTCTGGTTTCTGATCTTCCGGGTCTGGGACCTTCTCCTGGTCATCCCAATCCTCCGGCTTCTTGGCTTCAGGGTCTTTCACTTTTTTGGGCGGCAGGACGTCCCAGTCCTCCTCCAGACTGCCAGACTCCACCTTCTTGTTGTCGATCTTCACCTCGTACGTGTTGTCGGGGTTCAGGATCAGCGTGTACAGGTGGGAGTACTCATCATCCTGCAGGGAATAAAGGAAATCTTAAAGAGGCTCTATTCTGCTTTCTGTGGTGTTCCCTTTCCTGTAATGTGTGACTGTGTTATAGGTTTCTTTACACGTAAATGGTCTGCAAAGGCTAAGATCCCCGTGTTCCCTCCAGAGGGAGTTTCTCTCCCACCCCCCACTGCCTTACTGTCAAATATAGGCATTGTTTACATCAAAGCAAATTCCCTATATCTGTAAACCTGATTCTGATTAGAAAACACGTTTGACATGTCCCAAGTTAATATAAAAACAATAATGGATTACTCACCTTGCACCTGATGTCCTTGTTGATCAGATGGTTTTTGCCTTGGTAGTTGAAGATGACGTGAACCTTCTTTGTGCCGGGGCCGCAAATGTCCGGACCTGAACAAGAAAACAAACAAATAAGTAAAATACGTTTGAGTTTTTACAAATCCTTCTTGTAACGCACTTCATCATGCCTCTGGCACTGAAGAACTTGTTTAACTATTTACAAAAGGTATATAGAGTAATTTGTATTTTTATATAATGTGGTTTGGATTTAAATTATAATAAAGAATCAGACATATTGAAAGAAACACACAAAGTGCTTTACAAATATGGAAAATACATCAAAGATAAATGGAAAAATAGGGGAAATGTCATAATAGGTTTTGTTTTTTTGAAATGGGAAAATCCACAGATTACTTATACTGTTATCAGTGTAGTAATTAAGGAGATGCGTTTGTCCTCACTGACCGAACATGAGGTTGTAGACGGAGTCTCCGTGCATCTCCTCCTGGT